TATTTTTTCGTAGGTCCTATATTTTACTTTAGACACCAGGCGACCCCCACCTCTTTCAATGGGAAATTTATCGACTTCTATTCAAGATAGAGGGGTACATTTTTTATTCCATTTTTTTTTTTGACTCATGAAAAGTAAGACAATAAATGAACAAGCGGTAAAGATAATTCTCAATCACTCTCTAAATACGCCCAAAACTTGACGAGCGCCTGATTTCATTGTGTCTAGACACAAACCACTCTCTGGTAAACTGCTCAGAGAATGTATCACAGGGAGTACTATATATAATATACATTTTATGTTGTATATCTGCATTCGTCGGCCTGGTGATAAAACCGACTAACCCACAAAATATCCCCCAAAAATTTATTGGCCCTGTCGATAGTAAATTGTCCATGATTTCATATGCTCACTCAAAGACAGATCTGAATGAATTTGGTCTAGAAATGTCTTTAAAACATCAGAAATAAAACCCTATAACCCGGCACCCATCGGATTTTAGCCCGATTTGTCATTGTGTTTTTACGGTCCTGTGCAGCCAACAAAAATGTCCCTCTGTGATAATAAACTATTATTTTATCTGATCTTATAACAGCTGTATCGTTTCTTTCTTCGCAGGTTCTCAAATGCTTTTTCACAAATCGACGGACAACTAATATGGCAGCTAAAGAAAATGAGAGAAACGGTAAGAAGATGTTCTTTTAAAGTCAGCGACATTTCACAAGTGTTTCAGTATGTCATATTCTGTGTGTTTGTTGATTAGGATTTTTTGTTTGTTTGTTTGTTTGTTTGTTTGTTTGTTTAGGGGAGGGGGTGTTTTTGTTTTCCAAACCTTTCAGTAAAAGATATAACGCCAAAATCCAAATCAAAATGTTGCCCTCGTGATTGTTCAGTTGAAAACCAAGTAAGAAATAAGGAGACGAAACAAAACTATTATTGACCTCGGTATTTCAATAATGACCTTATGTTATCTGTTGCTCTCTGGCTCTCTCTCTCTCCCCCTTTCTCTCTCTGTCTCTCTGTCTCTCTCTCTCTGTTTCTCCCTCCCTCTCTCTCTCTCGCTCTCTCTCTCTCTCTCTCTCTCTCTCTCTCTCTCTCTGTCTATATCTCTTTCTCTCTCTCTCTCTCTCTCTCTGTCTCTTTCTATCTATCTCTCTCTCTGTGTCTCTCTTTACTATCTCTCTTAGTCTCTCTTCTCGCCCTCCCTTTCTCTTTTCTCTCTCTTATTCTGTGTGTGTGTGT